ATTCTATATGTTATATCTCCTTCTCGCCTCCACCGGCCTAGCCAACCCCGCCGTGACGAGCCACCACTGTCCTCCCGACGGGATGTCGATCCTCATCGGCGGGGACAAGTGGTACTCTCTCTGCTGTAGAACTAGTCGATTTTGAAGACTGGGAAACGACTCCGGTAATTTACATAGGGAAGGAGACCGAACAAGTTGATAACGAATTCAATCCTCAAGTTGATTCGAATATTGTGCCTAAAATTGGTCTAGAATTGCAGTAAGATGAAAAAGCTCATATTTTCTATAATGCGTATGCTAAAGATGCAGGGTTTAGCATTAAAATTCGGAACAACAAAAAGAATAAAATAGATGGCACGTTTGTTTGGAGGGATTTCACTTGCTCTAAAGAAGGTAAGACAAATGAGTCCTATCGGAAGAATAAACATGCAATGGCAGAAACTAGTGAACGAAGAAGAGGGGAAACCAGATGTAACTGCCCGGCTCGAATGAGTGCTCGAAAAAAACAATAAAGTTTAGGTGGTAAAGGATTTTGAAGAGAAACATAATCATCCTCTTGCAACCCCTAAAAATACACATCTACTTATATCTCATCGAGTAGTGTCAGCTACAAAACGTGCGCTTGTTCAAGAGTATGATGAAGCAAATATACGAACGTCCCAACAAGTTAGATTGCTTGAAATTACTTCTGGTGGTCCTTCTATGATGGGACGCTTGGATAAGGATATTAGGAATGAAGAAACAACACGTGAAGAAAAATTGAATGGACATGATGCAGTTACCTTGATTCACCAATTCAAAATGGAAAAAGAGAGGAATGAGAATTTTTATTACGTTTATGAGACAGGTGATGATGATGTTTTCTTAAGGTTCTTTTGGTCTGATAGTGCATCAAAAAATGCATATGCGTTGTTTGGTAGTGCAGTTGTATTCGACACCACTTACAACACGAATAAGTACGGAATGGTGTTTGCGCCTTTTGTAGGTGTCAACCATCATAGGCAGACCACTGTATTCGGTTCTGGATTACGCAGTGATGAGAAAACGAAGTCTTTTGTTTGGTTATTTTCCAAATTTTTAGATGCAATGATAAACTAACCGCATCCAGAAGTTTTTATCACTGATCAAGATGCTGCTATATCACTTGTCGTGGCTGAGGTATTCCCAAGTACTATACATTGATATTGTATTTGGCATATCTTAAACAAATTTTCCAAAAAGTTTGGTCCTGTTCTTTATAATTTACACCACCGTACTTTATCTGAGATTATTAAAGACTCTAAGACTCCTAATGAGTATGAGTCTAGATGGAATTCATTGATGAGTGCTTCTGAATTGAGCAATAATGAGTGGTTGTCAAAGATGTATGATATCCGTCATCGTTGGATTCCGGCATATATGAAGGGTGTCTTTTCTGCTGGAATGTCTAGCAGCAAAAGAGTTGAAAATAATCACGCATTCTTTAAGGGATACCTTGATAAGAAATGTTCATTGAATGATTTTTTCACTCGCTTTAGTAGGGTTGTTGCGCATTAGAGGCATGAAGAATTAATCGCTACTCATGTTGATCGAGGGTCAACACTTCATTTGCAATGGAGAGGCAAATGGCTGAGATCAACACTTCATAAACAGACCACTGTAAATTTTTGTGCAGGCTGTTCAATTAGTTCTTTCGACATAAAAATACCTAAAGCAAAACTTAAATAGACTTAAACAAATGTATACAAAATTTGGTAGCACGAGTTCCCCTGGAACCAAATCGCTACAATCTCGAAAACATTGTTCGACCTTCAAGAAACATGTGCAGCTCCATAGCTTCCAGATCACTTTTGTTTCTAGCAACAAACTCATGGACTTTGTCTTGTATTTGTATCCAGTTTCTATCAGGTGGCTTCCCCTTCTTCACAATCTCTCTCGCTTCTTTCCTGATACCCATAACTTAACCCGTTTAGCTCTTGTTCGCATAGATACTGGACAAAAGCACACAGCCCAGGAAGCAAGGGCAACGTGGATCAAGGATAACAGGACATGTTCTCGTTGATAAGACACAACCACCCAACGCTGATGAGACTAAGTCATTGTTTGTTCCTGCAAAAGTTCCCAATCCCAAACTCAGCTCAAGCTCTTCCAATTTTTTTTTTCTTTTTTATTTCAGGTTTTGCAGAGAAAATATTCATCAAAAGAAACGAAGCTGATGTAGCAAGAAATTGATATATTCATGAAACAAAACAAGGTGAAAGTTCCAATTTTATTCAGGAAACAAAGCAATGCGAACGAAATTGACGTGGTCGTCTAGGGTTTCCTCGACGGCCTTGGACATGGCGTTCGGGTCGTACCGGAATTTTATGGTCTCCACGGGGAACAACTCCTCGCTCTTCATCTTTTTCGTAGCGTCGATGTAAGTCTTTCAGTCGATGGTCGTCGATGCAGCGAAGAGAGTACCACTTGGAGACGTACGCGCCGATGAGGGTCGACATCTGGGCAGTGGTGGCGTCGATTGTGTACTCTCCAGCCAATGGTCGCCGATGATGAGTTTTCTTAGTAGGATTTTTGAGTTCTGCAGATTTTTCTTCGTGGGATTCGAGGAGTTCTGCGTGTTTTTAATCTAAAAGAAAAAAGATTAGAAAAATAAAAGAGAAAATGAGATTTATTTAAATTGCCAAGTAGGCAAGCCACATAGGCAGTTGGCTCTCTTAACTATTGGCTCTATAGCATTATTGTATGTGTGTATATGTTATATTTAAAGTTAGTTAATGAATATATCACATTTTATAAATTTTATCATTAGTAAAAATGAACATATAAAGATAAACTATTAACTTACATATTAATCTTTTTATTGATTGCAAAAATATAATTTTTGCAATATTCGATGAATATGAACAATTGATAGGTAAAATAATATTGAAATTATTATTATAACAATTGTGCATGGAATTTTAGAAAGGTTTGCTTATATCATAAAAAAATAATTAACTAGTGATAATAAAAAAAACTATTTAATGAGTTAAAATAAACAAGAAATAGTAATTTTTAAATAAATATTTAAAAAATATTTTTTAGAATATAATATCATTTAATGTGACTTAATGATTTATTAGTAGTGATTGTTATATAATAAAATAAACAAAAAAAATTAATCCCTCTATATATTAATTCAAAACGTGTTGAGCCTAAGTTGCAGGCTCGCATGCTTCGGAATTCTATGTGGCAAAATTACATGTTTCATTATTTGGCTTGGGTAGATTTTAATTTACTTCCAATCCAAAAATAATTAAGTTCGGAGTACCCATAAATATGTTGATTATTTATGGTCATGTTACATGAATTAATTTGATTTTAATATCATTTCTTATTATAACCATTGAATTGTAAATGTATTTTAAAAGTTAATAACATTTGTTTTTTTATCAGTTTTACACATATAACATATCAAATTAATCATCTCTTGATGAGCTTCGATTTAACATCCATATTGTATGTATAAAAAAATTATATTTGTCTTTACAACAATAATAAAATTATTTTTTTAGTATTAATTAGAAAAATAAAATTATTTATCAATTAGAGAAATGCTACAATTACATAATAATGTACCTAACACTCACATTAAGTGGGTCCTACTAAAAATAAAATATCAAGTAGACCTCACTTTATGTGAATGTTATGTACACCTTTATGTACATTATTATGTACTCGTAACATTTCTCTATCAATTAATATATCTATATATATCTAAAAAGGTTGATGTAAAAATCATTTTTAGAAACTTAAAATAAATTGAGTTGACTTTTGACTTTCTATTTATGTAATCTCAATCAAATTTTGAGAAAAAAATCGTGAATAGGATTTTGTAATTGGTATTCCCGTTAATTAAGTATCAGATCTCATTAATTAAGCAAATCTGTTACGAAAATACACAAATTCCGTCAATTAAGGCATTATATATTTCCCTTTTTTTAGGGATGGATATACCTTTAACGTGATAAGATATATACATGTGATTGCATATTTTGTTGTTGCATCCCAAAAATCATGGAATTTAATATCTATCTAAATACAATCCATAATTATCTTATCACTTTTGTTAATAAAAAATTGTATAAAAGGATATTCACTACCACCATTACAACTCATCATTCACGAGTTCAGAGAGAAAAAAATACAGACAATAATTTTTCATCGCATATACAATATAATGCTTCCAGGTTGGGGTACACTTGATATATAATGCTTCCAGACTGGGGTATGTTAACAAAAGAAACAAACTTTTTTTTTTTTTTTGCCTCTGAGAGCAGTCCGCATTATTGAAACCCATCACGAACGGGGGAGCTATAACGCATTTTCATGATAAACAAGTAATATTTACCTTTGTTATTTCAATTTTATATAATTTAGAAAATTATTTTAATTAATATTTATAACAAACCTTTTTTGCGTCTGAGAGCAGTCCGCATTATTGAAACCCATCACGAACGGGAGAGAGCAGTCCGCATTATTGAAACCCGAACGGGAGAGTTGTAACGCATTTTTATGATGAACAAGTAATATTTACCTTTGTTATTTCAATTTTATATAATTTAGAAAATTATTTTAATTAATATTTATAACAAACCTTTTTTGCGTCTGAGAGTAGTCCGCATTATTGATACCCATCACGAGCAGGCTGGGGTACACTTGATATATAATGCTTCTGGGGTACGTTAACAAAAGAAACAAACCTTTTTTTGCGTCTGAGAGCCGTCCGCATTATTGAAACCCATCACGAACGGGAGAGCTATAACGCATTTTCATGATGAACAGGTAATATTTATCTTTGTTATTTCAATTTTATACGCATTTTCATGATGAACAGGTAATATTTACCTTTGTTATTTCAATTTTATATAATTTAGAAAATTATTTTAATTAATATTTATAACAAACCTTTTTTGCGTCTGAGAGCGGCCGCATTATTGAAACCCATCACGAGAGCAGTCCGCATTATTGAAACCCATCACGAACGGAAGAGCTGTAAGGCATTTTCATGATGAACAGGTAATATTTACCTTTGTTATTTCAATTTTATATAATTTAAAAAATTATTTTAATTAATATTTATAACAAACCTTTTTTGCGTCTGAGAGCAGTCCGCATTATTGAAACCCATCACGAACGGGAGAGCTGTAACGCATTTTCATGATGAACAGGTAATATTTACCTTTGTTATTTCAATTTTATATAATTTAGAATATTATTTTAATTAATATTTATAACAAATTTTTTTTGCGTCTGAGAGCAGTCCGCATTATTGAAACTCATCACGAACGGAGCTGTAACGCATTTTCACGATGAACAGGTAATATTTACCTTTGTTATTTCAATTTTATATAATTTAAAAAATTATTTTAATTAATATTTATAAATTTGTATCGTAGGGTGCTTTCATTAAATGCATAATACGTTATCCGAATATGAGAGCAACAAATTTTATATAAACTGAGAGCAGTCTAATTTTTGTAAAATATGTAAACTTTAAACGTGTTTTTATATATAAAATTGTATATACTTTTAAACATGTTAGTTGGGCAAATTTTAAGGATATATATATGTGTGTATGCTAACTTTAAGTATATATATTTTTCTTATAAAATAGTCTAGACAAAATTGAGGTAATTCACCTTTTCCAATAATAATATAAAATATTTTAATACTTTCACATATGTTATATAATAGTCTACGTATTCTTAATGTCTTTTGGTTGTAACATTGTTAACACATATAATATTAGATACTTTTAAACATATTTAGATAATTTTTTTACTCATTCTTTAATATCTATCTATGTGCATAAAAAGAGAATAAGATTTATAAAAAGATTTTCCGGCAATATACTAAATGTTAGATAAAAAATCTCATTTTATTTGTTATATAATATTTCGAGTTGCATTAATTTTGATTTGTATGTGTAAAATTGATAAATTAAGCGTATGAAAAGGAGTGTACGAATTACTGTAAGGATTTAAAAAATAAAAAATAAATCTAATTTTTGAATATTTTCTACTAACTTCTAAACGAATTTATGTCATAATTCGTCATAATTTTCCCACATCATGTCAATATTTATTTTATATATACTAGGTAAAAGGTAAATCATTATCTCAATATTTATTATATATATTTTAAGTAAATCTTCTCATCTATCTCAACGGTCAGCATGTAGTATTTCATACTTTTCTATTCATAATCAAATATGTCAAAGCTTCACAAATTTTACTTCACAAAGAAAGTGTTCAATAATTTATATTTTTTTTTCCTTCTTTGCAATCCATTTATTTTTGTTACATATATATAAATTATATTATTTTTAATATTTCACACGTTAAACATTTCAGGAAATTATACCATCCCGTGCATCGCACGGGTTACGCGCTAGTTTATGTTTCAAATAGTTATATGATATAAGTTAGAAAAATTACAATAATATAACACATGTAAGTCGTACAAGTAACAAGTTTCATTGTAAAATATATAATAATACATATTTTTTTAAAAAATGTAATTAAATTTTAAAACAATTTTTTTCATTAATTATAAAGTTGAAGAATAATTTTTTTAATAAACACTCGTGTAATACACATGTGTTGTACTAGTATTTAATTAATACAAAAGTAACGGAAAATGGGAGGAAAATTTAAAGAATTTTATTAAATTTTTTGCTAGCAAAATATATATATATATATACATATATTATTGATAATATTATTGTTTATAAATATAAATAATAATATCGGGTCGAGGCAGGAAGAGTAATTTTCTCAAGAAGTGATGGCCCAATTAAAAAATGAGGCCCATAGTTGCTTGTGGGTTTTAGGTTAGGGTTTAACAGTTTTTCTTTCTTTCTAGTTTCTTGAGCAAAAACCCAGTGCTTAGTACAAAACCCTTCTTTCTAGATCAGTCCGGCTCCATTCTTAAACGAACTTGTCCCAAGTGAGAAGCTAAAGCTTAAAGAAAACTAGAAAAATGAGCCAAGCTGCCGCGTCCTTTCTCACCAACATAGCACGCGCCGCCTTCAGCCTCGGGCTCGGCGCCACCGTCCTCAATTCCTCGCTCTACACCGTCGACGGCGGCCAGCGAGCCGTTCTCTTCGATCGTTTCCGAGGAGTCATCCCTGACACTGTCGGTGAAGGAACCCACTTTTTGGTCCCATGGCTTCAGAAACCCTTCATCTTCGACATCCGTACTCGCCCGCACACCTTCTCCTCCGTCTCAGGTGCAGTAGCTTGTATTTCTGTCATTTTGCTTTCGATATTTCGATACTTTCAGGCGATCGGTTAGACCCTGATTTGATTTTTTTTCTTCGTTAGTGCAATTAGCCGAAGCTAGAATTGAGCCCAATTTAAAGTGTATTCTAGATGGGCTTTGATTTGATGTTTCGATTGAATCTCTTGCTTATTCCGGCTTTATCCTTCTGAACCTAATGCCTACGTTGCCACAAATATCTTTCCTTTATACCACTATTTTGAACTTCCTCATCAATTATGGAGAGGGATTTGTTTTTAATGTTATTCGCCATAAACTAAAAGAAAGCAATTTCATATCTTGCAATCACCAGGTACAAAGGATCTGCAAATGGTGAATCTCACCCTCCGAGTCCTCTCCCGTCCGGAAGTCAATCGCTTGCCGGACATCTTCAAAACCCTAGGTCTCGAATATGACGAAAAGGTCCTCCCATCCATAGGCAACGAGGTCCTCAAGGCTGTGGTGGCGCAGTTCAACGCCGACCAGCTGCTCACTGAACGGCCACACGTCTCTGCCCTCGTTCGCGAGAGCCTGATTCGCAGGGCAAAGGACTTCAACATTGTGCTTGATGACGTGGCAATCACCCATTTGTCGTACGGAGCTGAGTTCTCAAAGGCCGTGGAGCAGAAGCAAGTGGCCCAACAGGAGGCCGAGAGGTCCAAATTCGTGGTTGCGAAGGCCGAGCAAGAGAGGAGGGCAGCAATTATCAGGGCTGAGGGTGAGAGTGAATCGGCTAAGCTTATTTCGGATGCGACTCAGGCTGCTGGCATGGGTCTGATTGAGCTGAGGAAGATTGAGGCTGCTAAAGATAATGTGTCGACTATGTCTAGGAACGGGAATGTGTTGTATCTCCCTGGAAACAACAACATGCTTCTTGGGATCAATCGTTGATTTCGAGGTATTAATGTTATTTGTGGATTGGTTTTTCGTGTTGCTGTCTTTTACGTCTGCATTATTTGTTTTCCAGTGGAGGGTTTGTGGGGTGTTTGGTGAATGATTTAATCGCGCGCTGGTTGATGCTCTGGCCGATATTTTTTATAATCAATTGTATTTGTCTTTCTAATGGATACCATTTTTGGGAACTTTAACTTGAACTTTAGTGTATTTTAGTTGTGAGTGTTGTGTTAGTTGTGTCTTGTTTAAGTTTTTTCTAAGTTGAGCAAGACGTAATATCTAAAAAAAATCTGTCATGAATTATTTGTCGTGCCAGTTTCCAGACAGAGGACTTCATATTGTCTCAACAGTAGGTTCTCATCTAAGATCATACTTGTACAAATTTGTCATTTAAGATTTGTTGTTTTTTCACATGATTACTGTTAATATTTCGATTGTGTATTAGGACCAGATATCACACTGTTCTTTTGCTTAAGATGTCTTTTATCTTTGGATGGTTCTCTTTGTGCTGGGTTCAGATTGCTGCTGTTTTTCTTGCTATTATAATTGTATCATATGCACCTTGGGTCGCTACGGAAACAGCCTCCTTGTATAATTACAAGGGTAAGGTCTGCGTACAACTGACTCCCCAGACCCCAACCTGTTGGGAATATACTGGGTATGTTGTTGTTGTTGTTGTTGTTGTTGTATAACTGTATCATATCTCCACAAAGAATGGTGGTTTTCTTTTTCATTTGGTTTGGTGAATCATTTTATGCTCCTGATTTACCCTTTCAAGTCATAAATTTCATCTTTTATGGAGTTAATTTTTTATACCCTTGCAAATTATAAAGGGCATCCAAGTTAAGTTGATTGTAATTAGTCTGTTTAAAGAAAAAGGTTGTGTCTTTATTGAACAAATGAGGAATAGATACCCTAGTCATTCTTTGTGAGATGAAGAGAATACAATTATTGTGAGTATACTTATATCTATCCATTATTTTAATTACAGCACACATAGGATTTGATGTTTTGTGTATAAGGAAAAAAGGGCATATAACTCTTGTTTTGTTGCAGGATGTAAGTAGGAACCAAAATATTATATGGTGATAATTTTGTCGACTGGGACAATAGTTTGATTACAGATATTTTTTGGAGATACTTTAGTCCTCTGGCATGTACTGTGCTGACAATATATTGTTGATGCCAAATAATTTTTCCAACTGTTAGAACTGTATTCCGAAATTTCACTTTTCTGATATATGTTCTGGCTTCTCCGGGATAAGGTCTATGCCATAACTCTTCCAACCGCATTGTTCTATATCTTGGATAATTTTATTTCTGATGATTAACCTTTTCTTGTTTCTCTTGATTTAGGATGTAAGGTGCCGTACGCTCCCCTGGATCTTTTGAGTTGATTGGATGGATTAACACCAAAATGTCTATTTTATTTGCTTTGTTCGAATATCTTGATAAGTTGTATGGATATGTTGATGAAACTGGATTGTGAATGGTTTATTATGAGTGTATTGGATGCTGGGAAATTGCTGTTGCTTGCTTTGGTATGACCTCCCAAATTCCTGTCTATTGGCTATATTATGGTTGTGTAGAACCTGTAGTCCCCCATGCCAGCTATAGTCCTCTCGCCATACTCAAGAAATTTGGATTTTCTAGTAAGATTTTTATTTTCTGCCTCTGACTTCCCCAGGTTCTTAGTTTTACCTTCTAAATATTTTTTTTCCAGACAATCCACCATAAATACTAGCTATTTTATCAGTTTACAACGCGGTTGTTTAAAGACGGGGAAATGCATTATGTTGCCGCTGTCCACTGCCTGACCGCTCTTTATTGATGGTGGATCAAATTGAACCATATGTCAAATTGAAGCTCTCTTGTTTTTATCTATTTGACCGCTCTTTATTGATGGTGGATCAAATTGAAACTCTCTCTCTC